CTGTTACTGACAGAGTGAGCCTAAGAGTACAGGACTACCTAGAGTAGACAAGATCAAGACTACAGGACCAGTCTGATCTTGTACACCTATATATACTAAACTATACAAGAGTACTTAGGGAGTATGAGCCACTTAAGAATGATAAGCTATGAAGAATGAAAGAAAGGAATGTCAAAGATAAAGGTACAAAGAATGAAGGGATGGACAAAGGGTAAGAGACTATAGAATGAACAAAGAATGAAGGGGTGGTCAAAGGAATGGAATGATGAAGTAAGGAAGGGTAGTAGTAAGAGTTAGTATACATATAGTCTATAGACAGTACTCCTGAGAGACAGAAGTCCTGAGTTCTGATACAGAAGGGTACAGAACCCTCAGAACTGAAGGTACAAGAGTAGAGAACTGTAACATTACCCTCCCTCTAAAACCAATTGTTCTGATTGGTGAACATTAGGTTTGGTCAGCAGCTCAGGTATAGGTCAGAATAGTAGGGTTTGGAAATCTATGAGGTAGAGTTGATACAGAGTACTCAGATGAAGTTGATAGAAGTCTCAGATTGCCTTAGTAGTATGGGTGAGATTCTCAGCAGGTTCCTAAGTGTGTTCTTCAACTAAGTATCCCTTCTACTAGATAAGGAACTTAAGCTTTCTGTACACTAGCTTAGTATCTACTATGTACTCTACTTTGTATTCTAGTTTGGAACTGATGAGTTCTGGTAGAGGTAGTAAGGGTCTTTGTTGTAAAGGAAAACCCAGATTATAGTACTAAGACAGTAGAACCTTGTTAAACACTGAGTGTATGTACTTCTATGTTGCTAGAAGTTGGAGTTTGTAGACAGAGGTACTAACCTTCTTTTTAATAACAAAGGGTCTGAAGCACTTGTTGTCTAACTTCTTTATTAGACAATCTATAGTTAGGTTAGTGGCTTCTAGCATAACTTTGTCACCAGGCTAGTAATCCTTAGCTACAGACCTCTTCTAATTATAGTTCCACTTTATAATCTGTGCTACCTTTTCTAAAAGAGCTTGTACATCCTCCCTAGTTCTGTACATCTGTTCTACAAAGTCTGTTACAGATTCAGAACTACTATTCTGGTTCAGAACTGTCCCCTAGTATGGATGTCTCTCATGATTGAGGAAGAATAGGGACTGTCCTGTTGTAGAGTGTTACCAGTTATTGTGCACAAATTCTACTAGAGCTAGCTATTCAGACCAATCTGATTACTAATGATTAATAAACATTTAGAGGTAAAGCTTGATCTCCTGATTGACTTACTCAGTTTAACTATCAGTCTGTAAGTAATAAGTAGTAGAAGGGTTCTCTTGAATTCTGAGAAGCACATACAAGTCCTGTATAAATTTCAACTTGAATTACAGTCTGTAATTATGAATGAGCTTCTAAGAGAGTCTGTACAACTAGAAGACATAATCCTAATAAATGTGTACTATACCTTCAGAAGTGAGTTCTGTTCAGGTCAGAACTATGTAGACTTGTTTAGAGAATCAGTCAACAATTACACAGATAGTGTTGTAACCCTAAGACTCAGGTAGCTTACTAATCAGGTCTACTAAGACTTCTTCCTAAGAGTGATCTAGAATCTAATACAAATGTAGGGGAGCCCAAACCCTTGTCTGGTAGGCCTTAGTCTGTTAGCACATATTATAACTAGTTACATACTTTAGGATTTCCCTCTACATTCTAAACTATTAGTAGTTCTAAGTAATGAGTTCCTGTGTTTTGTGTTGGCCTAAATGTTCTACAGTCAGATTGTTATAATAAGCTCAGATAATGTCCTCCTACAGCTTCTAATCCTTTAGAATGTACAGTTGGCCTTCCTAGTAAACCTGTCTATCCTTATCCTCCTCCTAATCCCTAGCCTACTTCTCTAGCTACTTTACTATAACCTAGTCCTGTATGTGTCTTAGAGCTTACTGTATGTAGGTGACAAAGTCAACATTCTTGGATTTGAGTCAGATCTCTTGGATTGTCTTAGACATGAAATAGGAATTGTCTAGGAGAACAAGATTTTTGTTATTATTCTCCCCCCTTTTATAACCTGCTTGTCTTGAGAGTAAATCAGCTTTTGTCATTTGTGTTCCAGGTTTGTAAGTTAGTACAAAGTCATAGTCCTATAGTTCTAACATTTAGTAGGCTTGACAGTAGTTGAGCTTCTGAGACACTCAGAAGTACTAGAGATTAAGGTGATCACTCTAAATCTTAAACTTCTGTGTAACACTAAGGAGATATTAATACTACTCCTCTAGGGAACAGACAATTGTAAGGAGTTCCTTGTTATAAATAGGGTAGTTCCATTCTGTTACAGAGAGGGATTCTAATCAGAACACTATCAGATACTACTTTCTGTTAATGAACTAGAACAGTACTACTCTATTTGTAAAGTTAGAAGAGTTGGCTTTGACTCAGAACTTGTCTACAACTGTTAAAACTGCTAATACAAGCTTACTAGTAATAGCCTACTTTAGGGACTCAAACACAGACTACTACTGATCCTCCTATTACTAAGGAACATCTTTACTAGTAAGATTATGAAGGGGCCAGGCAATAGTACTAAAGCCTTAAATGAAGCATTAGTAGTAGTTTGTAAACCTAAGGAATACTTGAACCTGTTTCAGGTTCTAAGGTTATAGCCAGTTCCAAACTACAGTTACCTTTGTTAGATCTATACAGACCTCTCCTCTACTAATTATAAAGCCTAGATAATCTACTGACTCCTGTACAAAAGAGTACTTTACTTCTTAGAGGAACAGTTTATTATCTTAGAGCTATTGTAGAACTGCTCAGATCAGTTAGTAATAGTGCTTGACTGTCTGAGTGAAGATCAGAATGTTATCTAGATACACACTAACATGCTCTGAGTTAATCAGATCTGTAAGGATGTGATTCATGAATGACTAGAATGTTACAGACAAGTTAGTTAGTCTAAAGAACATTATAGTTGGTTTGTACAATCTGTGATTAGTTTAGAATACAGTCTTCTACTCATCTCTGTCTTAAATCTGAATATTATTGTATCCTTATTAAATGTTCAACTTAGTAAAAACTCTAGATGTATGTGTCTTATTAATGAGCTCCTGAATCAGGGGGAGCAGGTACTTGTTTTTAACAGTACCCTTATTAAGACAATAATAATTCTAGACTAGGTAGAGCTTCCTATCTTTCTTTTTGACAAAGAAGAAAGGGGAGGCTATAAGAGACTTTAAGGGTTGGATCTGACTGTTCCAAAGATTTTCCTAAAGGAACTTGTCAAGCACCTCCTACTTGTCTCTGTTAAGTAGGTAGACCTTGTAATCCTTAGGTTGGAAACCCTTAGTCAATTCAATTGTATAGTCCTAGAAACAGTGTTTAGAAAGCTGGTTGAATTCCTCTTTACTAAAGACTTTAGGGAACTCTTAGACAAAATCTAGCAGGCTAGGTTTATGTGTGTTCTAGAGTAGAGTTGTTCTGAGAGGGTTCTAGACTAGTTCCATCTTGAACATCCTTCAGATTGACTCTGTTCTGTCTTAACTAGAATATGTATTCATATATTTATCCTAGTCAAAGAAGAACAACTGGTCACCTTTATTAGAACTGTTAGTAACATTAGAAGCATCTGTATCTACTTAGAACAGTAGTATAAAGTAACTGTAAGACTCAGGACACTGATCAAACATAAGTGTCTACTCTAACTAGTTAATAGTAGGGTTGTAAGTCTTGAGCCATTTGAATCTAATAAAGATGTCTGTCTTTCTAAGGTTGGTGACTCTAACTTATACTTTCTTATATCCTGAATAGTCTATCTGTAGTTGGACAACTCAGT